AAAGAAAAAGTGTGCAAGACAATAAGAAACACTACCTGCCAAAAAAAAGTGAAGTTTTGTTGAAATCGGTTGAAAAATGTAGGAAATCCGATCCCAGATATAAATGAACGCACACACACACACACAACAGCCTGGGTTTTATAAGTATAATAACTCGATATGAGTTGTCCCCCCTTTCATTCTGGCGACAGAATCGGGTTTTCAAATTGATCTCGTGTAAAAACAATTGTGTTTTTCTAATTTTTGGCGCTGTCAGAACCACCGCAAGGTAATTTTACGTAGTCCTGTGAAGTTTTGTTGAAATCGGTTGAAAAATGTAGGAAATCCGATCCAATATATAAACGTACAGACACACACAACCTGGGTTTTATAATAAGTAAGATGTTATAAAATTACTACAAAAATAGCCATTTTGTTTCAACACCTCTGGTGTCTTATCAAGTAATGATGCTGAATGTCAGAGGTGTTTTTTACATAAATAATCATATATATATATATATATATATATATATATATATATATATATATATATATATATATATATAAAAAAAAAGGCTTAAACACTAATATTGATGGTTATAATTTATTCCATTGGAATCGTAAATACATATATATATTGTTTAATTATATATATTATTGTTTTGTTGGATAACAACGCACATCTTTATATAAATACTTATACTAATGAACAACATATATTATAAATAAATAATTATATTCGCTCTACTCTGTATTCAGCACTCTTTTAAGAATAGTAATTGTTGGTTATTGGAATTTATTCCGTATACACCAATCATATATATATATATATATATATATATATATATATATATATATATATATGTCTGATTGAATAAATTACAGACATTGTGTTTGCTAATTTTTAACAAAATCCGTTCATACTCCCGAATAACCTTCCGTTTATTGATGTTAAAGGATGAGAGAAATGGGCTATAGCTATTTAAATTTCTTTAATTTTCCTTTCCCAAGTACTTTCGATATTCTCCCAAGGTCATCTTCAGGGGTGCAAGTAGTACAAAACTATATGTTGTTCATTAGTATAAGTATTTATATAAAGATGTGCGTTGTTATCCATTACTGTAATTTTTTCATTATGCTTTTAAATGCAAAATGGTTGACAATGTGCTGAGCGTTCATTAGAACGTGAAAAAATTATCCATTAGGGAATTTTTTTCTCCATGTTATAATGTCATGGTCGTATACGCATTAACGCATTAAAATTCCATTTGATTTGCAGCTCTGAAAGATTGAAGGCTATTTTTATAGTTTTCAGGAAATAAAGATTATTACCTATGGTATTTTAAGTATGTCATATTCATTAATTAATAATTTTGCTCTGTCACTGACATAGAGCTCTCATTGATCTTTATCCTCTTGAAATTTCATACGGCTTACCATTTTAATTTATATATATATATATATATATATATATATATATATATATATATATATATATATATATTCATACATGTTTCATTAAATAATATAGACTAGTGTTGTCTATTTTATGTAAATTTTTTCGTAACGTCTGTTAAGTTTAATAACATTATCGTTGGACGAAGAAAGAAATTCACAATATTGATCCATATTTTTTTAATACAATCTAAGCTTTTGGCTTATTTAAGCCATTATCAAAGATATATATATATATATATATATATATATATATATATATATATATATATATATATATATAATAATATAAACAAGTGTTGTCTATTTATTTTATGTAAATTCTTTTCATATCGTCTGATCAGCTTATATATATATATATATATATATATATATATATATATATATATATATATATTATTTAGTGTGTGTGTGTATTGGGACAGCAGATCATTATTTAAACATATATTGTTAAATATAACAGACAATGAATGTCTTTTATGTCTGATCATGAGCCGTTCTTAAGATCGTATATTTGCTTTAATTTCGGGAGAAAATAAAGACAAAAAATGTCCAACATTTTGATATTTTTTTGTTAAGTTGGTCCTTGATGTAATTTTTCCGCTCACATGAGCCATCTTCTGAGTGGTCAGACGGACATTTTAACAAAGATATCCACCATCTAATAATAGACCCACTACATATATTGGTTTTACTACAACCACACTCTCCCGTAGACTTACCTGTCAACTTTCTAACCTTAGTTCTATTAAACAACATTTTTAGAAAACTATAGCCATGTACATAATATTAGACAGATATTAACACAATAATATTCACACATACACAACGTAAAAAGAACCTTCAGATATTGGAGGCCATCGATATTAAAATGAAGTAACTCAACCCACACTCAACAAAATTAAATTTCAAACTAGTCGCAACAAATTACAATGCATCTCGAAATATGGTTCTGTTGTTAATATTTCGGTCTATCGCGTTACAAAACCGCATCTTGAACTTACGACCTGTATCTGCTATTCCGCGACCGTTATCGTCGCATAGCAATTTTTTTTATGTCAACATAAAAAAATATCATCTTTGACGATGGATATCTTTGTTTAAATGTCCATGTGACCACTACGAAGTTGAATATATCCAAATATCCTTATTTTCACTCGAAATTAAAGCAAATATATGAACTTTAGAACGTCTCATGATCTAACATAATAGATATTCATTATTTATTATATTTAACAATCTATCTATCTATCTATCTATCTATCTATATATATATATATATATATATATATATATATATATATATAGATATATGAGAGAGAGAAAGAGAGAGAGACTCAGGCCTACGTAAAAACCGATAAGTTATTTCTAAGACAATGTACGTACAAATTTGTGGGTGTAACCTTGTGTGAAAAAGAGAAGAATAACTTTAACAACATCTTCCGCCTAAATAAATAAATTAGGAACATATATTGTTGGAAATCAATCTATATAATCAGGAAACAGGAAGCAGTGGTGACTTTCGTTGGATCGTGAATTGACGAATCAGCAACTATAGAGAAAGCGAAACATCAAAAGCGAGAAAAAAAAAAGATTTCCTGTCTCTAAAATTTTTAGTGAAGTTTTTG